GCCACCCGGGAGCCGTCACCCGCCGGCCTGGGCCTCCTCTCACTGCACACTCACCGCGCTCCCTCTCTCTGCCCCTTTCCTCTGCCCGTTATGTCCCCCCACTTTGCACCATCCACTCGCCCTCCTGTCTGCTCTCTTTGGCCCCTTCCTGGCCAGCGCCCTCTCTGCCTTCTTCTCACGTGACCTGTAACTTCACACTCCTCTGCCTCCATCTTGAGGTAGCCAGGCCCTCCCCACATGCTCCTTCCCCTCATCTCTCCCCGGCTGTTCAGCGGCTCCGCTTCTGACCTCAGCCCCGTCTCCCTGACACTGCCTTGTCTGCTTTCCTGGCGTGTCCTTGGAAGGGAAGTGCTCCCCTGACCGGCTGAGGTCAGTGCCCCTTCAGGCCGGGGAGAGCCTCACGGTCGCCTCCTCCTCCGTCTTCCTTTGCTTCATTCTTGCTGCTGGACCCACTGGAGGCAGATAATGAGGATGAGCAGGAAGGAATAGAGGAGAAAGCAGGTAGACGGACCGTGGCAGTGAAGATCACTTCTGTCTCAAGTTGCTAAGAAAACAGCACAATCCCAGAGGTGTGCAGACTTTCTTGTGGATTCCTTCTTGTCACCTAAACTTCTGTTGACTCAGGGAGACAGGGAAGACACCTCTGGCCTGGGCAGAGAGTTGCTGCGAATCCAGAATGGAAGGGCGAGGGCAGGCCTGCACGCTGCGCTTCGGGTGGGAGGCAGGGGGGGGGCCCAGCGGGACGCCCTCTTCTCTCCGCCCAGCCTCCCAGAGAGGCAGCTGGGTCCTCCTGGTAGGAAAAGTGGTTCCTAAGGGCCCGGCAGTTCATTGTGGTCATGAACCAGAGTCCGGTGACGTTTAGCCAGGACAGCTCGGTTTGTCACCAGTCTCAAAATAGTGCCAACCGCATGTCAGCCAAGACTCTCCACATAGTCCCATCTGTGGCTCCAGATGGGCAGAAAGGCCTTAGACAGACAGAAGGTGGGCTGCCGGTTCCAGGCCTCCAGCTTCTCCCTTTTTCCTTCCACACACCTGGGCTTTGCTTTCCCCTCAGCTCAAATGCACCCCCAAGACAAGCCTGTGGGGCCTGTTGAGCCAGCCGAGAGGCCCATCCGTCTAGTTCACCACGACAGCAGATAATATTCATTTAGAGTTTACTTCTGATCACGTCTAAGTTCTTTACGTGTCTCGTCTCACTTAATCCTCACCATAGTCCTGTGGTTACACCACTTTACAGGTGGGAAACTGAGGCACAGAGACATAAGTTATTTGCCCAAGGCCCCCCAGCTAGTGGGTGCATGAGGTAGGCCTGACGCCGAACTCCCAGCCATGCTGGTCTCCGCTGCGCTACCTCTCCGTTCTGGAAAAGGTCCAGCCATGAAGCTGAATGAGGGCACAGATCACCCCGAAGAGGAAAATCCAGAATGCTCATGTATGCAGGATGCATCAGCTGATGCTTTTGCGGCAGTTTTTCCTTCCTACTAATGACTTGCTGAAGCTAAACCTGCATGTACTACGTTTTCTCAGCCCAAGTCAGACAGCGAGGGGTGGAGGAGCAGGGCATAAGCCACCGCAAGTCCCAGGGTAACGGCCCGTCAACCGTAGGCAGCATCCAAGATGCCAGAGCCTGGGAACTGAGGAAAGGAAAGCCGCTAACTGTAGGGCTTCAGGGTGGCCAGGGACAGGCTTCCAGCCCTGCAAACGCCAGCTGACGAAAGGCCAGCCCTGCTGGACTCTGAGGAGCTGGGCAGGAAGAGGTTTGGTGCCCCATTCCAGCAGGTCAGGAGAGCCCTTTCCCTGGGCCTGGCTTCTACCGACCCTGCTTCTACCTGCCCTCAGGGAAAGGAGTAGCGAGTATCACCTCTGAGTCAGCTCCATCTCAGCAGAGAAAAAGCCTAAGGTTTTCCCCACCCTTCTGTTATCACACCCACAGCACCTTCATCATCAGTGGTTTCCAACCAATGAGGAGGTGGGCAAAAATTGGGGTGGGGGAGCCTGAGCTAAGGCGGGCGGGGATGAGAAAGCCCTAAACTCTTGTTCTCCAGAGTGCAGGGTAAGAATACGCCCCCGGCCCACCCCCTCAGGGATCTAACCCGACCCCCTGGAAACCATGTTGACTTAAATGACTGACAGGAGCCCTGCCGCTGAGGAAGGCTGGGCTCTGCAGTCAGTGGGAGGAGGGCTGTCTGCCGAGAGGCAGAGACGCGGCGGGAGGCCCGGTTGCTGGGTCTGAAACTGGAGAATGGATGGGTGATGGGGTTCATGGGACGGGGGGTAGGGGGACGACAGGGTGGCCAGTTGCCTCCTAAGGGACCCTGTCACCCCACTCAGGCCCCGCAGCTCTGCTCGCCTCAGTGCAGATCCACGCAAGCCCTGGACAGCAGGAACTGGCTGGTTTCGGCCACCAGCGGAGGCCCTGGCACTGGGCACAGCAGCTGCTGGCCCCAGGGCAGAGAAGTCAAGCAAAAGCCTCCCAGAGCACAAGCAGGTGGGGCAGGCCCAGGCGGGAGGCAGCTGTCTTGGGCTGTCCCTTCCGCCGGGAAAAAATCCGGGGAGAAAAGTGGCCAGTGACGGCCAACTGCGAGGCTGACAGGGTCCCTTTGGGCCTGACCCTTCCCCAGTGCGCTCCACTGACTAACCGTGTGTGTTTCTCTCGGCCTTTCCCGTTCTTTTCTCTCAGAGGTGTTGCCAACCAAGGCCAACTTACCCATTTTGTTCCAGGCCTCTCTGCTGGGCGGACGACCCCAGCCCGCATTCCTCTCTTCAGCACAGCGCCCTGCCACCTTCCTGTCTCCCCCTGCCCCCACACCCAACTAACGTTTCTTTCCCACGTTTTCTAGGTGAGGCGCGGAGTGTTCCTGAACTCTCTCTCTCTGGTTACGGTTTCTCTCCCTTCTCTTCCTTGAGCCCCTCCCCTGCCCCTCTTCTGAATTTACTTTACCCCCAGAGATGATATTGCTACCTAGAGCTTATTATTCCCCTAGTGGTTTTGCAAAAGCGAATTTAAAAACACACGTGGGTATACCGTTCCTTTGGGGTCTTCGCTCTCTCCCTCCCTGCTCTCTGCTCACACCGTGAATGGTATCTGAGAATCTGGGAGGGGATTGGCTGTTTCCTGCTCTAGCGTGTGACTCATGGGGCAGAACAGTCTCTCTCTCTCACTCTCTCTCTCTCTCTCTCTCTCTGCCTCTAAGACTCTGGCAACATTCAGAAAAATACTCTGGGAAGCCAACAAGAAAGTCATGACTGCAAGCTGACCCTCACCTGACCCGTGCCCTGGCCAAGCTCTCCTTTCCCCATCCTGGCCGTCCAGAGTCTCTGCTGTGGCATTTCTGTTCTCTTTTGGCAGAAAGGCCTGGGAACCGAGAGGCCCCGTTCCCTGTGACTTGACCTCCCACACTAAGAATAACAGCCTGGGACAGCATGTCTTGTGACCCTTCTGGAAAGAGGGCATGGATGGGAAGTGGGGAAGTGAGGGCAGCCTGCCAGGGCCAGGAGGAAATGAAAGGACAGACTCTTGACTCTTGGAGGAAAAAATAAAAAGAGACAGTTGGCAGCTTCCAAAGAACTGGGGAGAGGGATCTGGGAAACTCAGAGGATCCTTAGAAACTGTATCCTCGATTGCCAACCCTAGGACTCCATGTCCTGGAATCCTCCACTTAGAGAAGGGGGGACCTCTGGTCCTGTGGAGCAAATGTGACCCAGTCCCTGTCCCTTTGCAGAACTTTGCTTGAAAAACATACGAGGCAGATATCCTTTATGAAAGCAGACAAATGTCCTCAGTACAAGGCTCTCCCACTCCACTCTTAGGGTGACCGTCCTGTTCCTGAGTCCCTGAACTGCAAGTGGACATCCTGGGTGGTCAGAGAGCAGTAGCTCAGAGAGCCAGATGACCCTGACCCAAGAAACCCAACAAACCCGGCCTCTTTGTCGAGACTCCATCCACCCAGGACGCTGGGAATCCTCTGGGGACTCAAGGGCAGGCCATCCCCCTGGTTGACCAGTTGTCCAAGGGCCTCACTAAGTCTCTCTAAAGCCTTTGATCTCGTCCCTCCTCTGAATATGATGTAAACAAATAAAACCCACATGTACAAGCTCAAGTGAAGTCAGGACACTGATTGTCCCCTCCTGTGCCCAAATCTCGCTTCGGCATGTTCTGCCTTTCTGAAAAGCCAGAGTCTCCATCCCTCTACCCAGCCTACCCCGATCAATTCTGTTGTCGGGAAAAGGCTTTGACCACTTTATTCCCCTCGGGTGGCCATTGCACCTCATCAGGTCCTTATGACCAAATGATGTTGTTGGGAGGCGGACACCCCAGAAACCCAGTCCAGGACCACAGCCTCTACTTCCAAACTATTCGATGGACCTTGATTATGTCCCCCCTTCAGTAGGTAAAGTCCCTGCCAGGGCAGAGGTATCCCCAGAAGGCCCTGGGCATGTCCACCGCTGGAACCAAGTGGACACTACTCTGTAGGGTGTCCAGCCTATCGTAGAGATTGTCCATGATGTGGGGCTCTTATGATTGCTGCGCTCTGATGTGAGTCACCGCAGAGCCCAGATGACCTGGCCACCCACTGGGCCACACTGACTGCAGTTTTTTAATTCCCAACTCACCCACCAACCCCAACCCACCTGCCCCCCCCTTCTAAGCAGGCCCTCCAGAGGAGCCCAGCCACGCCCCTGCACCATCACCGCTGGCTCTGCCTGCCTCTGGTGGGTAGTAGAAAGGGCCTCTGTGCAGGAGGGTGGCGAGGTGAGTTGGATCTGGAGGAAAGGGCGCTGTGTGCCAAGGAAAGGCAGGGCAGGCGGGCTGGGCTAGCTGCCTCTCAGGCTCCCCCCCCCCAAAAAACTTCCTGGGCTCCTGGCCACGGTGAGGGCGTTTGGAACTCCGGCAGCGACACTGAGTGCCTGGACGGTATTTCTGATGGTGATGTTGCTCTGTTCTTGTCTGTCTAATATTCCTTTTTAATCCCCATCCTGCCTGCCCCTCCCTTATGTAGGGTTACTTTAGTGATCCCTGGAATGTTTTTGACTTCCTCATCGTAATTGGCAGCATAATTGACGTCATTCTCAGTGAAACTAATGTGAGTATGACCGCGCTTCCCAGGAACCGCCTCCCTGCTTCCTCTGCTTCCTGTTTCCCTCTCTCTCACTCTCTCTCTACCGCCTTTTATTTAGTTTTTTTTTTAATTTCCTGTTTTTACCCCACTCTAGTCATGCTTTTTATTGAACCTGCCGTCGTCCTGTGGGGGAAAAAAAGTGGGAGCTTCTCCTCCTTTTTTTCCATCGTCCCAGCTCTGCCCGCGGTGCTGGGCCCAGGAGCTCGGCGCCGAGCGAGGCGGTGGGCGCCGCCGGGCCTCCTGGGGTGGCCACGGCCCAGCTAACCTCTGACTAACCCAGCTTTTGTCAGGCCTCTCCACCCTGCGAAAACCAGGTTGCCCAGGTTTGAGCGCCAGAACAGTAGAGTGGTAAGAGTGTTTACTATGCCCGCGTAACCTCTTTCTTTTCTCATTTTTTTTCTCTTCTCTCCTTTCTTTCATGCTTTTTTTTTTTTTCATTTTTCCTCTTCCTTTTTGTTTTGTTTTTCTCCTTTGTTGTTGGTTTGTTTTTTTTCTCTCTCTCTCTCTTCTCTCTCTCCCTCTTCCTCGGCTTCTCTGCCCCATGCAGCACTATTTCTGTGATGCATGGAATACATTTGACGCCTTGATTGTTGTGGGTAGCATTGTTGATATAGCAATCACCGAGGTAAACGTAAGTACATGGCGTCTGTACCTAACCGTCTGTGCCTGCCTAACACTCATTTGTCTATCCCGTTCATTTGGTCCTGTTTTATTTTCTCCTCCGCACCTCTTTATATCCACTTAGTTGTTTTTATTTTGTTTGTTTTTTTTTATTTTTTTTAATTTATTTTCGGGGTTTTTTTTTTCATGTTGCTTTAGTTTGGATTTTTTATTATTTTGAACCTTTGGAACGAGTTAGGTCTCCCCTTTCCTTTTAAGTTTTGACTGCTGCATCTTTTTCTCTCTCCCTTTCAATCGGCCTGGCATGACTCACACTGTATAGGAGGAGACAGCTCTGGGTACCATGGAGTGAGAAAGCAAGAGGTGTTCACACCTCTGGGCAGCTGCTGCGGCGGGGACCCAAACCTCTGCTCACCCCACTCACCTCTACACCCCTGCATCTCCCCCTCTGGCCTTTCCACCCCCACAGCATCTGGAAAGGAGCTCTCTCTCTCAAAGCAGAACACCTGAGCCAAGGCCAGGCCCCAGGCCAGCCCATGACATTGACCTTGAGGGCTCCATCTTGATGTACTGGCAGCCTGTGCAGACAGCCCAGGCCTCCAGGCTCCAGGGGCAGGCGAGGAGAACTGGCCACAGTTAGACTCCTGCTTGGACCCCTCTTCTCTGGGGTGCTCAGGAGCCTGGAGACCCACCAAGCATGCTGCCAGGGGTCTTTCCTCCCAAGTGCTGTGGAAGCAGGGCTCTATGAGAGCAGCCCACTCCCACATGAACTTCGCAGAGAACTGTCTCCCGCACCTGCCGGCCCCTCCCCCAACCCCTCTCCACCCTGCCAGGCTCCCTGGCCTCAGACAGATGTCCAGCCCCTGCACTCCCAGGCCCCTGCGCCTGCTCCCAGAGTTGCCTCCTCCTCTACGGTTCCTACCAGTTCCTGCACAAGTCTTGTCATCTGGCATGTTTGAACCTTCTCTCTTTATCTTTAGGCAAGCCTTCTTGCGGTTAGTCTTAACATGTGTTGTTTAATTTTTGTCATTATTTATCCTCGTTAAGAGACTTGGTAACGTTTGCACAAACCTTTGATGCACTGAACCATTGAATAACAGCATGGAGCAGATGCTGTAGTTTTGATCTAAGATGTTTGAAACGACCCTGCCAGTCCC